CTAGATCATTTTTCCAGTGTATACATTCAGAATTTAGGAATTTTACTTATTTTTTTAACTTAATTTAAGTTGAAATTACAGTTTTCTATAAAATCCGAATTAGAATTAAAGAAAAACTGTTCAAATTAGCTGTAAAAGTAGAGTATTTTTTTTACATTTGTTTTGGATCCTATCTCAATACCACTTATGCCATGTTTTTAAACAGTTAATAAAACAGAATTTGTAAAGAAAAAAATAAAATAGGTCCAAAGGATCTATCAGTAACCATGATTAACAAAATTAACAAAATTAAATTTCAAATCAAGGAAAGATTTAAAAACCTGCTAATCATATATTTGTATAATTTATCATTACCAATAAATTTTGTCGGTGATCGGTTTGCTTCCCTGATCGAATTAAACATCTTTTCCTGAACATGCTGAGGTCAGTTTTTATATGCTGATGTTTTTACTGCACAACAGAACCAGGCAGTAAAAAGCTTAGTTCTGCTGAGATGCAGAGTAATCCTCTTACCAATGTTCAAGCAATCCCAGTCTGATGAAAGTCAGTAGGTGTTCTCTGCTCACTCAACTGACTGGAGCGAAACACATAAAGAGATCGTAGATTTGCATCCATGCAAACTTCACATCTACTCACACCTTTACCTTCAGAGTTACATAAACCGCAGCAGAGGAAACAGATCAAAGATGGAAACCAGCAAAGCTCCGCCTCCTCCCTCATGGAAGCCGTCCTACCTGTGTGACCTTCTCTGTGACGTTGTGCGTCCTGTCGATCAGCTTGCACGGCGCTATGATGTCCATCTCTCCAGGGGGCAGGGCGATGAGGGGGTCCGGCTTGAAATCCACAAAGTTGAGGGTGATTTGGGGGATCTTGGATATGGTACGGTAGCGCATCAGGTCCGAGTCCGAGGTGGAGTTCAGGATGTTAGACTTGCTGTTTACTGCGCCTGGAAAGAGACACACCCAGTCAGGATATTATATGGAGAGAACTTTGTTTCATTATTGTACATTAATTTGTAAAAACTTCTTCATCAAATAAGCTTTTTTTCTCACATTTTATTTTCAAAATTATTTTTTTCATATTTTATTCATCTTTTTTTGAATATAGACATCACCTTTGGACATGGGAATTACCCTGGAGTTAGGAGCAAAGATGCGTATCTATAGGTCTGCTCTATGTGGTCGTTAGCAGCAGTATTTTTATTGATCAATGTGCAAAGTTAGTGTCTGTGTTTGACTTTAAGTAAAGAAAATGTGACTACAGCATTTTTTATTTTATTTTTATTT